CTACACACACACACACTACACACACACACAAACTCACTCACACACGCACACACACACACACACATATATATATATATATATGCTGCTATATATGGCTGATGTACACTGCCACAAATGGTCAATATGTTATCACCTTGACTGAGACGAGCTTCCACGAAGCTGCCAATCGCTTAACACAATAAAAGGCCAGGGCTGTTGCCATGGTGACCACTCCATGCACGTTGTTACTGACTTTGCACAGCTCGGCAATCTGTCGCAAATTGTGTCAATGAGTGTCATTTATGAAGTGTCAATAGAAGATATATAATACAAGTGAAATAATCTGTTACGAGGTATAGTTACAGTTACCAACCCATCAAGTGGTGCAGGATCCACAAGTAGCAAGTGATGAAGTAACGAATGAAACAGACAGAGACCTCCAGGTGATAAGACAACTGCCTAGCACATAGAAACGTCAAGTAGCAAGAGGTGAAGCAATTAATGAAACAGACCTAAAATCTTCACACCACTATAGCAGTATATGCAGCCTAACTTTATGTACCCTATATATATGTGAAGCCTTTCTTTACCCTAAATATATATATATATATATATATATATATGAGTGTGTGTTGCTTCTGCATGTTTGTCAGTCACCCACCTCAACTATTTTCTCGATTGCGCGTCCCCTGATTTCGGGACTGCCGCCGCTGAGGATGAGCCGAATTGCCCACGCACTCCATTGGTTGAAGAGGGCTGTGATCTGTCCTATCACAGGCGCTTGATCCTTTTTTTTGGACCAGGTCTGGTTGATCAGCTCGGTGTTTCTGATGTTTTTGTAGATGTGGTGCACCTGTTTGTGTGGTGTAGAGAGAAAAAAGAGGACCGCTCAGGTCAGCCAAAAAAGGAAGTTAGCTGCAAAAAGTGAAGTGTTAGGGTACAAGTCTCTGTGGTAGAGCAGGCATAGTCTGGTACTAGTCGTGTGGCTGCTGAAACCGTAGACAGAGTTTAGGGTTTTCAATCTGGGGCAAGTAAGTAAGGGACTTCAGATCCGCAGAAAGTTCAGTTTGTGTAGTCTGCTAAGAAAATGTAGCAGAACCACCGCAGTCGACTGTTCCATTGACAGAAGAAATATCACTCGTAGTACAGTAGTAGAAACTATATAAACATGTAGTATGTCTATGCATAAAGTATATATCTATTTGAAGTATGTTTATGCATAATGTATACATCTATATGAACTATATAAACATGTAGTATGTCTATGCATAAAGTATATTTATACAAACTATATAAACAAGTAGTATATCTATATATAGAGTATATATATATATATAGGAACGCCTCCAAAGACACAACACGCACGGGTTTTGTGCTTGGATAAACAAAAAGTAGGCTAGGTCCCAGAAGGATCACTCTTAGTTAACTAAGCCATGCTCATGTCTTTGAACATGTGTGAGGTTTCTCACCCTCTCCCTCAGATGCTACGTCCGTTCGTTTGGTCGTGTGGCTGTGGTTGTCCGCTCGCTTACACGTTTTAGGGGTTTAGGGTTTAGGCTACACGTTGGGTGTACGCTGCAGTCTGATGCGTGGTACCATCACAGGCACCATCACGTCTGCCTATCAACGCACACAGGCGAGTGGGCGGGACAGCGTGCCTCTAGGTTTGCATTGGTGACCATTGCGTTTCTCGTGTGGAGCGCCGTTTCCATGGTGATCCCTCTTGCAGGGCCGTTTCCATGGTGATTCTTCTCAATGCCACAACTATGGTGTCGGACTGCTTGATACATAGATAGGTACCGAACTACCCAGCCACACAACGATGTCTCCTACCCACAAACACACGTCGCTACTATCCTTCACCAACACACAACAGCAATCGGAATACTACCTATCGCACACACACCTCACCCGTGAAACGTGAGGCCTATCCCAGCCCACACCAACACCCATCGCAAACAAACACATGGATGATATAGACACTCTACACCACCCCAAAATACCTGTACCAGCCCAACACACATACCGGCCGAGACAAGCAGGCACAGACTACCACCGGGTCTACCAGAGCTGGCTGGTCAGTGGTACGAGTGCACAGCATCACAGCAGACAGTGCTAGATGGGCCACTACTGCCGAATTCTTTACTATGGCGGCCGTCCCAGGTATGCGCAATACCATGTGCGAGGTGTTGTAGCTGAGGGGGATGGGTGTGGGATGAGTAGGTAGGCATGGGTTGGTAGGGGTATGCAATGTACTGTGGGGAGAGAGGACCAGTTGCGAGATGTTGTAGCTGGGGGAATGGGTATGGGATGAGCAGGTAGGCATGGGTAGATAAGTATATGAAATGAACTGTATGGAATGGATTGTAGACCGACTACACACACTCACTCACACACAACTACACTCACATGCACACATGCACACACGACTACACACACACACACAACTACACCCCCATGCACACACACGAATATTCACACACACTCACACACAACTACACACACACTCACACACAACTACACCTACATGCACACACAACTACACCCACATACACACACGACTACACACACACTCTCTCACACAACTATACCCACATGCACTCATGCCTGCACGCACATACACAGACCACTGTACTGCCGAGTGCTTACCCCGCCTTCATACATGCGGATTGCAGGAGATCCCATACAGTAGCAGTGACAGGCACAGGTAGTGTGCAGAGTGTTTTGCCATTCTTCTCTTTGAGGATTGTGATTTTATTGACAATCTCTTCGGCGCCATCGGACGCCGCTGTGTAGTGAAGTGGTAGGTATGGGCGGGAAAACGAATGTTGTTGGTGTTGGTTTTTCTTTGTTATTGTTGGTGTTGTTTATGATTTGTTTGTTTGGCGGGGGAGGGGATGGAGGAGATAGAGTGTGGATAGAGCGCACACATAAACACACCGATTAGGGGTTTGGGGTTTAGGGTTTAAGGTTTAGGGTTGCCTTGATCGTGTCTGTGTCAGTGCAGTTCTGTGGTATTGTATATGCGCAGATAAGGGATCTGTCTTCTGCGCTCGTGTTATATCTGATTGTGCCAAACCAACTATGAGACGCATAGCACACCGACACACTCTCTATTTGGACATCTTAGTCACAAGCCCGTTGAACAATCGAATTAGGGGTTTTAGGGTTTTTAGGATTTTTGAGTTTTAGGGTTTAGTATACACGCACACTATAGCAAGCGCAAATCCAATACTTCACCAACATACAGTCGCCTGCTAACACGTCGCCGTCGCTCGGGTCATCGGCTGACTTGAGGTTCGTCTGTAGCGCCAAAACAACACTACGCAGTCGAATCCACAGCAACTCCTCATCGTCTGGATCATCTGCGGGCGACAAAGGCAGACAGTCAGTCAGCGCACTGAGTGGCGTATACTGATGCGACACCATGCAGTGCATAAGACAGTGCTATACACGACTGAGGTGTTGTATATGATTGAGATGTTGTCCACGATTAAGGTGTTGTCCATCCGTGATTAATGTGCTACAAATGACCAAGGTGTTGTATATGATTGAGATGTTATCCATGATTAATATGATATACACGACTGAGGTGTCGTACTTAATTAGGATAATGTACATGATTAAGTTATTTTTATCTTGGAAGAGGTGTGCCGAATATATCTGAATCTTTGTTACATACTCGCTCATCTAAAACATACACATGACCAATAAGATAGTTCCATCGAATGACTCATGTGTCACAAAGCGTGGAGTACTACTGATAGACAGATAATCTAGAGTCAGACTTGCAGAAACCCCACGCACGCACATGGGCAAGCAG